GATATAAATACATCTGTAATTACCTCAGCAGTTACAGAGATAGGCTACAACGTATCTAGTTGATAATAATGTTTAGGAAATATATAGATCTGTAATTACCTTAGCAGTTACAGAGATAGGCTACAACGTATCTAGTTGATAATAATTTTTAGAATATACACTTAGTCTTGGCAGGTGTGACTACGATAAAGGTGGTAATGTCTATCAAAGCAGTGTCTTTCGAATCAAAATGTTGATTCAACAATTTAGTCTCAACGGATGTGGTTACTGATTAATTTGATAATCTCTCCCACGAAACTATCTTTCAAATACATGCGTTGAATTTACAATTTCGTCTATGCAGGTGTGGTTACAATAACATAACGCATTTTTCTAATAAAAATGTTGAATTTACACTTGCGTCTTGGCAGGTGTGATTGCAATAAAGGTGATAATGTTTCTCATAGCAGCCTCTTTCAAATAAAAACGTTGAACTTACACTTTGTTTCGACAATAACAATTTTATAGCACGTGTTATCGTTCTTAACTTAAAATACATCCACAAACCCCGTATTTGGATTCATCACAATATTACAAAAGTCACTAGGTGCTTCATTTCCATTACTTTTAGTGTTGTTCATCATTTCCGTAAAAACGGAAAATACGCAGAATAGAACCGTTTATGTTATATTTACAAACGTTGTTGTGTTTATCCGACGGCGACTATAAAGAAAATGTAAGCACTTCAGCCACACCATATATTCACACATTATGGTATTGAATAGTTATAGCTTAAGTTGTTAATATCGTAGAGTTTCTAATGATATATTCACCAGTTATGAATAATGTAACAATTATAAGCAAATGGCAAACCTAAAGTGATTAAAGTGTCAAGAGTGAGACATATAGTTTGTATTCACTACCTGGGTTTCATTATAAAATCAACACGTAATAATAATAATTATTATAGTGTTTTTGTGTGATAGAAACACATCATAACAGTACTTTTGTATTCATTAACCATTTCAATCTTCTACCGCCCTCAACATGTCATACCCGTATTTTTCTATTAAATAACTAGTTTAATTTACATGTTATAAGTAATGTTTTTTTTAATTTACAGCCTGAATTGGATTTTACTTTTAACAGCAACATGCCATTAAAAATATTTTGTATTAACTGAGTAGTTATATTTTATATCACTGCAACATAACAATATTTTCTTAATTCATTAACTGGTATGATTGTCCATAAGAAAGAGGCGTTGTAAAAATCTTTATGTAATCATTAAATGGGTTGACTCTCTATACCGTCCACAAGTGACTCAACGGCAAGTCTGCAGGTTTACGACGCTCAAATTCGGGTTTCGATACCTGTGGTGGGCAGAACACAGATAGCCTATTGTGTAGCTTTGTACTTAACAACAACCAAATCAAACCAGGCTTTCTATAATAACAGTAGGTTATAACAATATTATAAGTCTGCAGGCTTACGATGCTCAAATTCGGATTTCGATACCAGTGGTGGGCAGAGCAGAGATAACCTATTGTGTAGTTTTTGTTTGTATGTGTTTTTCTTATAGCAAAGCCACATTGGGCTATCTACTGTTTCCACTGAGGGAATCGAACCCCTGATTTTAGCGTTGTAAGTCCATAAATTTACCTCTGTCACAGCGGGGGACCCTATTGTGTAGCTTTGTGTTTAAGAACAACCAAACCAGACTTTATATAACAATAGCACATTATAACAACATTCTAATTCATTAACTGGGTTAATGTACCTTAATTCATTTTCATCATTTTGCCTAAAGATTTTTTTTTTATTTCAACAACCCCTTAGAAAGAAGTCAATAATAGAAAGTACCTGGCAGTAATGCAGTCCTTGTAGAGAGCATCGAAGTCATTGCAAGACAACAGCTTACAACGATTCACGCCGGGTTGGATTGCTCCCAGTCCTCGCAAGATCCGGACCTGTTCTACGTTACACACAATCGGATTGATGTTCATTCGTTTCAGTTTGGTGTAAACTGTGTGCAGCCCTCCGACAAGGTGTTTCAGGAACAGTTCAAAGGCTTGTGGTAGACACAGCAGATATTCGTTCTGCACACGGAAAGCGGCCACTTTGGCTCCGCGATAATCGATTAGGCGACACTCATGGCCCGAGTCCGCAGGAATACCCGACGGAGAACCCGTGTGTGTCGAACGCTCCAGCCGGCAGCCGCCGTACGCTGACAGGGCAGGCGTGGTGTCACCGCGAGAGAGCAACTGGGTGGTACAAGGGATGTGCAAATTCTCCAAACCTAATTTGTTGGTGTGCAGGGACATTATGGGGTTTGCCTCGACCCGGCTTGATGAGCTGGTATACGGACGTGTCGGGGAAACAGTCGCCGGGGACGTTATTAGGCTTAAGGGAGTATCGCTCGGGGTTACTGACCTTGATTGTCTATGATGGTTATCAGCAGAGGATTCTAGAGACCGCATGTTAGGAGATTCAAGTCGCGGAGAGCATGATGCCTGTCCTGAATTGAAACAGTTTGCTCGATTCCCTGTTCCATCCACGTCACCTTCTGGACGTCCAAAGTGTCCATTTGTTCGGCCGATAGCCTCCAAGAGTTCTTCAGACGGACTCTTTGTATTATTGCAGTTAGTGGTCAACATGTGAGGGGCTGGCTCTCCGTTCAAAACGCTTCTGTCCATATGAAATAAATCTATTTCATACGCTTTTTTTGAAGACGAAGTAAATTCAGCAACAACGTAACACTGTTGTTTGCGCACGCGGGGTACGCTGTATACCCTCCGTGGCTCTTATCTCGAGTCGAGGCTTCAGTAGCCAAGTGACTTGCTGAAACTACCATTCATGCAATAAGCACCAAGGAAACGTCATAGCTCGTGAAGTTCGCCAGCGAATGACAGTCCACGGATTTCGTAGATCTCCCAGTGGGGGTCGTTTCGATTATCAGCTATATTGTCACTTTCGACCCGGAGCTTGATGATCAAAGAACAATTATGTTTCTCTATTCTTTTCCAAGATGAGCAAAGTATAAAGCAAGAGTAGTCTACACACGCTCCGTTCTGCAGGAATAAACAAAGAGATTTGATAGGTTTTTTTTTTTACTCTCGTATATATATATATTGGGGAAAGGGTGCAGGGAATACGAATTTTTTATTCATATTTACTTGTTTTGTTTTTGTTCCTTCAACTATTACAAATAAAAATGAAATCATTGTAATTTTAAAGCTTTACCCAATGTCAAAAAACTTTGTGATAAAGTAGTGTTAGAAAAATCTCCCCTATAGTCTGCTCTCCCAGCATATTGTATGCCCGGTACAATGAAAAACAAAATGTTTCTATACATAAACAATATTTTCCATTTGATGTTTTTTGCACTGACATTATTTTTATTTTGATGTCCTACACTTTGGATTTACTATTGCCGAGATTTATCAACATGTGAATACATGTGTAAAACTTAGAATTTACACATGGAAACGTGTTTATGAGCTTGTTACTTGAAAACGAACACAAGCAAATACGTGTATGCAAGTGGTTACATTAGTTTTTACAGCACACACACGGCTTGTGGTGTGGTATTAGGGACTGTTTGTTAGACATTGCTTCTAATATAACTGTAAGATTAAAAATAAAACTGATACCGTTTCAGGAAATTTCGAAATAAGTTTATAATTTGAAACCCGAGCATGCTCCAGTGTTCTTTGCCAGTTAACTTCTCCTACAAACAGAAAGCATGTTTTTAAAAACTGCTTTGTAGTAACTTATTATCTTTATTAACTGGAAACAGAATTAGGAGATAAATTTAGTTTTTGTATTAATAGTAATTAAGATCAGTGTTTATTTGTAATTAAGCACAAAGCTACACAATGGGCTATCTGTGCTCTGCCCACCACGGGTATCGAAAACCGGATTCTAGCGTTGTAAGTCCGCAGACATACCGCTGTGCCACTGGGGGGCAAAGATCAGTGAGGGAACCAATGATATATAAAAACTAACATACTGAAAAATCATATAGCACTAAAGTACGATAAATAAGATAAAAGGTGTGGTTAAAATAAAATAATGTTTCCCATAGCAACATATTTCAAATAAAAACGTCGTCAAGACGAAAGTGTATATTCGACGTTTTTATTTGAAATATGCTGCTATGGGAAACATTATTTTATTTTAACCACATCTGCCAAGACGAAGGTGTATATTCGACGTTTTTATTTGAAATATGTTGCTATGGGAAACATTATTTTATTTTAACCACACCTGCCAAGACTAAGTGTATGTTCGACGTTTTTATTTGAAATATGTTGCTATGGGAAACATTATTTTATTTTAACCACACCTGCCAAGACTAAGTGTATATTCGACGTTTTTATTTGAAATATGTTGCTATGGGAAACATTATTTTATTGCAACCACACCTGCCAAGACTAAGTGTATATTCGACGTTTTTATTTGAAATATGTTGCTATGGGAAACATTATTTTA